GCTGCTGATGCTGTGCAAGCTCTAGCAAGCTTCCATATTCCACATAGTTACCACCACCAATCACGAATACGATAGCCTCCTTAAAAGGACCTTTTATATGATAGCTAGCTCCTCCAGCACTTGATTTAGGAGCTCGGGGATCAAAAACAAGAAAAGAATCAATTTCAGGGTTTGGCTTCCCTTCCATCAAAGCTTCCACTGTCCTTGTCAATGCCAGCTGCCTATCACTAGACAATAGATTCTTTACACCAGCCGTTACAGCACTGATTGACTGCCCATAAAGCTTCTCAGCCCAATCAACAATGTTACTTCTACTTGCAGAATTTGCTGATGCTAGAGAAACATTCAGGGACTTGATTTTCTTCACATACTGAAATGCACTAGTATCAACCTCAGACTCTCTGAGTGCTGCCTCCACAGCCTCCACTTCTGACTGATTGATGGCTTCTGAAGAAATAAGATATATAATCGCAAAACGTAGCTTATCCATCTTTGTCCCCTTTCCCCTCAGAACACTCAAAAGTTCATTCCTATCAATGCTTCCTCTCACCAACATGTCATTCTCCTTCTTAGCATAAGAATCAAGAGACCTCTCCTTGATTTCCCCCAACAATGACGTTGCAATGTTAGTATGCTTATCAATCACTTGCTTCCTCTCTGTCAACTCAGGGAGTGAGTTCACTGCATTCATCAAATGTTTTGTGTTTCCAATCAAGTCTGTCCCGTCAAACTCAGCCCCACCAGTCCCTCCAGTTCTCCTATTGACCTCATCAACATCCTTCTTATACTTATTCAATTGTGTCTCAATCTCCACAGCAACTTCTGGAAATTCTAATGATCCATTTGCCACCCAAAATGGGTCTGAACTGTCCAATTCAAATGACTTCATTCCACCCTTTTCCCCTTGCACACTCAACCTATTAAGCTTCAAACCAAGAATATCATGCACAAGTGGTCGATACCGAAAATCGTGCTGTATCCCAACCGACAACTCAAAGTTCCTATCGAAGATACACAAAACTGGACGCTGAAAGGAGCTCATGAAACCCCCACCTTCTGTAAACAAATTATTTTTCACCAACAAATGATCCCTCAACCTCTGATCTAACTCAGATGCGACCATCTCCGCTGGCCCACCACGTGGGCATCTAATAATCGGAACCACTGCCAGCGTGGCCAAAACGCAAAACAGCCCACTAACAATCCTCTCAACAATCTCCTCAATCTCTCTATCCCCTGCTGACGGATCATTCAACTGCACATAACTAGACTTCTGTGCCAATGAAAACAAGTTATCCTCTAAAGTTACAAACTCCAAGTACTGGTCATGGATCTTCGAAATCCTCTGGATAGAATCAGAATTCAATGTCCCCGATGCAAGATCCTCCAAAAGGGGGCGGGGAAGAGAGGATGAAAAGTTCAAATGAAAGCTATCATAGAGTGATCTAGAAGCATCAGCTATGATTCTTTGGATATTGGAGTGAGTGGGTTGAACAAAGTACACAGCAGGTACATCATTAACCGGTTTTCGATCTTTTATCGATAACAATGTAAAGGGTTACACCCATGTTTGCGGAGATCCTTAACGTGGATTAAATGGGGAGAGTACATTTTTGGCAATATTTGTCATAGATCAAGATCTATACACCTCTTCGTTTGTGGTGCCACTTGGGTTC